TCAATTGTGGGTCAGAATATTTATTTCCCCACAATTCCTGAGAATACAGAAACCACATCTGTCCTAAACCCTTTCCCCCAGCAGGTATTCCTGTTTGCAATGACCTTCGTGATTTCTACTTGGTTTTTGACCCCATACTTGGATATTGCCCTGATTTGAGGGCCTGAAACGCTATTGTTTTTCCCACCTATTGGGACCCATGAGCTGGATTTATACAACATGCTAAGCCAACACTGAACCAATCACCTTTTAGTGCAGATCTTTTCCCATTGCTGAGTTAAAATGCTACTTCCTGAGTCAGCAGAAAACTATATGGACACAAAATTTTGCTATCCCTACTTACAACCCCCATCTTCCCTTTTTATTACCTTTGCTCTTTATTGGCAACAAATTGTAGTGTCCTCATTTGTGTATGTGTGTGTCTCTATGTCCAAGTCTATGTCTGAGTCATGTTAGGTATGACTCAAAACCATGATTACTCTGGTTTTGTTCAGTGATGGGATTCAAAAAATTTTACTACCAGTTCTGTGGGTGTGGCTTGGTGGGCGTGGCAGGGGTAGGATACTGTCAAATCTCCATTCCCACCCCACTCCAAGGGAAGGTTACTGCAAAACCCCCATTCCCTCCCCACCCTACTAACCTGCTTTCCAGCTCTGTTCTCCTGTGCAGGGCAACCAAAGAAGACCCAGCCAATCAGCTGGGACTTGGGAGGCAGAGAATAGATGGGAGCGGGGCCACTCAGAGGTGGTATTCTGAACTACTCAAAATTTCCACTATCGGTTCTCCAGAGCTGGTCAGAAGCTGCTGAATGCCACCTCTGGTTTTGTTTGTCTCCCTAGGTGACAGCTGATAGCCACCATTCAGCATAGGAATGTGGGTGGGGAGGGAAAGGTTTGGTTGGGTGTAGCTGTGTGTCCCAGATGTCTTGGGAGTTTGAAGGGGAGGGATTCTGGGAATTGTTTCGTTCTGTCTTTCTGATGGAATTGAATTAGCATGTTGACTCAAAGAAGAGGGTTGCCTCTTACTTGCAGTTTTCATACCCTTCAGATCATCCAGAATAGGGGTATCAAACTTGCATCTTCACATGATATATCAGGACTTTCCCCCTCTTTGCTTAACCGGGCATAGGCATGGACAATACGTGATGCATCCAGCCCATGGGCTATGAGTTTGACAGCCCTGATCCAGAAAAAAAGAGTTCCAGCACTTAGCAGGACGATAAATTTCAATCCAAGTGCCACTGGATTTATGGTCGCTCCCAGACATACTTTATCTTGCTTGCAAACACCTACCCACAGTTATTATTAGCACATATGTTCTCAATAGATAATCATTTGGTCCAAACTAAATTTCAACCAGCTGAAAGACTTTGCAAAAGTCTTTTCATCCCCATTGCCTGCATTTGATCTTGCTAAACTACTGCACCCAAATTGAAGTTGATTGATGCATTTTGATTACTGCTTACACATAATCAGTTTCCCTTTCCACACACTTGTGGAACACCAAAACAGGCTTTCTGAAATAATTACATCACTACTGTCAAAATGTACCTTCTCCCCAGCCAGTCCATGCTAAGAGTAATTTCTGATCGTTTTGCCCAATCTGTTGATGACACCTAGTGAGAGGGGAAACAAAGCCAGAGGCCCCACTAACAGTTTTATTTAATTCATTCCATACTGCAGCTCTAACTAGTATTTATCTCAACTGTCAATATCTATTTTTTCCATCCCACCCTCTCCGCCATCAGAACTGATGAATCTTCTTGAATGAAAGCAAAATGTTTTTTTCTTCTTCCTCGAGGAAAAAAACAGTCCAGTTGCCTTTTGAAGAAAAAAGTACCCTTGAGACAACTAAGAATATAAGAATATACCCCCTGCCCTTAATATAAGAAATATCTGGAGTGTGCGTGTGGAAAAACTCAAAATAGCAATCATGGCATGTGACTGAAGTATTACCCTTTTTTGCACATGCATGCAACATTGACATGTGTACAAAAAGGTGTGGGGCTCCAATTGTGTAACCATAACTGCCATCCTGACTTTTCTGAACCTCTCTGTAAAGGCAACTGCTTGTTACTGAGCTGAATAAGGTTTGGTAATGAATGCAATGAAAAATGTGTTGGCATAATTTTTTTCGCTGTCCCTGGGATTAGAAGAAAGGACTTCAAATGAGATTGATGAGGAATAATCCTATTCCCCAATATTCATTCCCAACCTTCAGTTCAGTGTTTAATACTATCTTTGTGGTTTTATTTTAGTCCAGAGCACTAATTCAAAATAAATTGAATATCCCTGCAGACCACTTTCTTTGTGACCAATGAGAGGAAGCCTTGCAGATGACTTCAGCCTGATTTTTAATTTGGTTGTTAAATGATTGGTTTCTTTTTTTAGTCTCAAGAATACATTTGGGAAACTTGCAGTTATCTTTATGAAGATGATGGCATTAACCTAACAAATTTTATCTTAACATTTATGTTTTTCTGGAATAAAGATTGACTGTATTAAGTTCACTTCCCATTCTGAGCCAATTTGGAAAGCAAATGTGGTAATATCCCTGAAATCTTGCCAGGTATTAGGATCAAGATACATTAAATCAGGATCATTTCCAGCTTTGAAAGCTGCTAAGCATATTTGGTTATTAATAGGTAAGCAGTTGTGATTTGATCTCAAATCACATGATAAGCTAATGTGATGGACCTCAAATCTGAAAATAGTGAGGAAGAGGTTCTATTTGAATACCTGGGCTAAATGATGGCTTAATATTTTAAATGAATTGATTTTCAATGGCGGTTTTAAAATTTTTGAGAGATTGTCTTTTGAGTTTGGCTTGTCTTCAATATATTCTTGGCAATATTCTCAAGTAAAACATATACTAACTAAAAGCATGGCCTGAATACTTTACCAGCCTCCAAGATACTTTCTATTTTAGCTTCATTAAGAGAGGCTGCAGTCAAATGTTTACCAATAATTCATTTTCATAAGGTAGTAAAAACATGAAGGGAAAATTTGCATTATTTATATATTGGGTCTATGGAAGGAAAAATTAGAATATCCAGTTTTGGAAAGTCAATGGGTCCAAATATTAAAAAATGGGAAATACACTTCTTACTATTTAAAGATGAAACTAATTAATCATAAAATATTATGACAGGTCTGTTGGAGGTATCAAAGAATCTTTAATAAAGGATGGACATTAAGACTTCTTAGGTTGACTGTGTAAGAAATTTGAACATTCTTTAACTCACATTATTTTGTCTTGTTCTATTATAGCTTTTGACTAATTCTATATTTTACAAATATAATTCAACACTCAAAATGAAATTAACATGTATGTTAATGTAATCTTGGGAACAAATAGTTAAGGATCTCAGTGTGATGTTGAGTTATATTTGTAAGATATAGCATTAGTCATTTTATGAAAAACTTCAGCTCTATGACAGGGGTGTCAAACTCATGTCATCATGATGGCGTCACATGACATATCAGAACTTTTTTCTCCTTTGGTAAACCGGGTGGGGTCATGGCCAGCGCATGACGCATCCAGCCCATGGGCTACAAGTTTAACAGCCCTACTCTGTGAAACTGAAGGCACAACAGAGGGGATACTGATGTGTAACTGGAAAGAAAGTCAATATAATTTTAAAGAATGGGTACAGGATATCAGTATATTATCTGTTTTGAAGAGTCTTTGTTCTCTAAAAATAAAAAATGACACATTTTGTTGCTAAATACTAATCAGATTTAATGATAAACTCAACAGTTAACTCCTTATAATTATTTATACTGATCATGTGGACCTTTGTTATTAAGGGTTTTTAAATTTGTAATTATTATGATTAGTTATTTTAACCACTAATTGATTCACCCTTTCTCTATTTTCTTCAGTTTGTTCAATTTAAAACAGTATTTTCCTGGAACCAAATAATTATACAGTCCACCCGCAATCCCTTTGCCACACTGAAAAACAACTTTCTGTTTTTTATGAATATAGGAAACTCACATTTCTGTAATTTTACTAAATTAGATTCTGTGAATCTGTTTTATTATACATGTGCAATAAATTTTGCCCCTTAGAATCAAGGTGCCAAATACCTCAAAGCCTAGAGCAATTGTAAATACACTGTATTTCAAATCAGGTTTCATTCATCCTCGATCTTAAGAGTTCTTTTTTTTTTCCTCATTGCCTGGACTTCAGGTTACAACATTCACAGCAAAAATAGATGCAAATGTGTAGCTTACAAGTAGTCCTTGTCAAGTGACCAGAATTGGGAGGAGAAAATTGGTCGTTAAGCAAAGCAGTCTCTAAGTAAAACATCACAATTTTGCAATTTTACTTCAGCTTTTGTTGGCTTTACAGACCTGCAAAGGTTTTCACAAAATTATTTTTTTTATCACCATTGTAACTGCAGAAAGTTTCTGTCTAAGGCAGCTGTTAAATGAGAGCTACCATATTTCCAAATTATCAGGGGTTCTCCTTCTGACACTATCCCAAAATTACTGGGGGTGGGAGCTGAGTGATGGGAAGAAGGGTACTTATTGATATCCACTTGCTCTGCCCTTTGAAATTCACCAAGCTTAGCTAAATTGTATGTCTATACACACACACACACTCTCACACACACACACTCACACACATACACACACACAAACACCTATAACTCATAGCTCTATCTACATCCCAAAACATATGTAGGATGGGATTACCTATCTCTTATTCTATAACCCTCTTCGTCTATAACCCTCTTATTCAAACAGGGTTATAGATGAGGGCTTCAGAAAGAGGAAGCTTCTAAAATTAGGAAACCCTCCTATTTTATTTTATTTTTTTCCTAGAAATTTGGGATTGCCTTCAACTCAAGCTATGTCGAAGCTTCTGAATTCATCCATTAACCGGAGCAGGGCAGTGAGAAAAGGCTGCATGATTGTTCCCCCAGAGTTCCATTGCTTCTCTGCCCCAAGTGAGAATCGTGGAGGGGTGGGATTCCTACCAGCATAACAACCAGATCAGTGTGTGCATGCTTTGGAATCATGCCTCCAAGTAAAAAGACGACTTGGTCCTTGTGGCTTCTGGTTCTAGCTTTCCCTCCCTTCTACCCTTGGGATGCTCAAAGGCGTGGAAAGTCTTTCCCCGTGTGTCCGGCTTCTTCCTTTTCTGCTCTTTTTTCTGACCTTGCATCTCCGAGGCCCTCTTCTGCTCCTTTGGGGATGACGGGGGTGGGTCCACCTTGATTTTGGGGATGTGGAAAGTGTGTGTGTGAATTTCTTTTCCTGTCTTATTGTTCTGTGCATCCTCCAGTTGCTGAACGTCAAAAATGGCCTTTGCACCTGAAAGGCGCTGCTTTGGGTTGTACTGGAATTTCGGCTGAGTTTTGCACAGTTTTCCCAGTTGGATTCTACATTCACGTTCCAGGTCACCCTCTGAGATGGGCACATCATGGACCTACCAAAGGGGAAGAAAGCAACAAATTTAGGTATGAGGCCCAAGGAAGAAAATATGAATTTAGAATTACTTCTATTACAGAAAAATGGACTTGATGGAGAGGAGAGGTGCGGGTAACCTATCGATCAACAAAACCATCCCCTACCTTGGAATGAGAGCCTAGGCATTTACTGGGAACCTAGGCATTACTCCTTTGCTTAAGGACAACTCACAGCCCTCAAATTTCCCCACCTCTGCAACAGAGACAGGGAAGGACACTGGTGAATATTGCCAGGTTATAGCTGGTTTGTATGTAGGTTAGATTGGGCCTGCTGAATAGATTTCGGGGGGCGACTAGAAGCAAATCAATTAGGGCTCTCATGGGTAAACTGTATTTTGCAACCTCCTGATTACCTAAAAAGAATGCTGCTGGAATTCAGTGGCAGAATAGCTGATTTCCAGCATGGTACTTTTCAGCAACAATTACCACCCCCAAAAGGCCAAAATAGCAATAGCACCAGCACTAGTACTTAGACTTAAATACCCCTTCATAGTGCTTTATAGCTCTCTCTAAGTGGTTTGTAGAGTCAGTATATTGTCCCCAACAATCTGGGTCCTCATTTTAACAACCTCGGAAGGATGGAAGGCTGAATCAACCTTGAGCCTGGTGAGAATAGAACTGCTGGCAGTCGGCAGAATTAGGCTGCAATATTGCATTCTAACTACTGACATGCCAGCAGGATGATAATAAAGGTGAGAATCCAAATTCTATGTGCTGGATACCTACAAAGCCCTATATAACATGACACAGAATTACATCAGGCATCAACTTGCCAACATTGATTCTACCCATTATAGTCACGCTTCTTCTTACCACCCCTTGAGAGTCACCACCCTCTCTTACACAAGAAGGAAATGGGACTTGGATCAGGTGGCTGGCCTTTTCTGTAGCAGCCCCTGACTTCTGATATATGCTTTTCCTGGATATGTATGTGTAGCATCTTCCTCCTTGCATTCTGCAAACCAGCAGAATATTTTTTTATTCTAACCTGGTTTGGATCCTGACTGGCTGTTTCATGGCATTTATCTTGGTATGTAAGTGTCACTTTGTATTGTACTGTATTGGTACTCTTTCTATCAAATTGTAAACTGCCCAAGTCCTATAATAGTTGTAGTCAACAAATATTGCAAAGAAAATCCATATATATATATATACATACATACATACATACATACATACATACATGCTTTGTTCGGGTATTTTCCCACGTCATTATAGTTGTGCTTTTAAAGTTGTAGCAACGTTTTGGCAGAATCTCATCTGCCATCATCAGACGAACACAATACAGAAGCCTGATGATAGCAGATGAGATTCTGCCAAAACGTTGCTACAACTTTAAAAACACAACTATAATGATGTGGGAAAATACCCGAACAAAGCTGAATACCACACACACACACACACACACACACACACACACACACGAACACACACACACACAAACATACACACACACACACACACACACATATGCATTAAGCCTCCATGAGACAGTAGTCCATCTGCGTCTGAAAGTTCACATTCTGGATAGAGAGAGAGAAGACCAATAGTTTGAAAGAGGGTTCAAGGAGTTCAAGGGTTCAAGGAGGCCATCTATGTTCAAATTGAAGAGCCCTCCCTCAACCATGGGGGAGGGATATGATATCATCTGTTTACTACGCAGTCCTTTCAGGGTCCCAAGAAGGTTCCACACCCATTTACACTCTGATTCGGGTGACTCTGAAGAGTCAGATAAACCCCCAAGTGGCCTCAACGACTCTCAGAGAGCAAATGCTAATGAACAGATGACTGCAAAGAATATAATACTTCCATTCCCCTCCAGTCAGAACTGAAGAAACTTCTTGGATGAGAAGTGAAACATTTTCAAAGGGGAAAAAAAACCCTGGACAGTCCAATTGCCTTTTGGAAAAAGCACCTTTGGAACATACATTCTCTTCTGTCCTTTAACATCCCACTCTTTACACACAGACACACCGAGAGTTTTTACCCTTTCACAAAATCTCCCAATTATTACTGTAATCATCTTTTGCAGGTCTCACATGCCTGCACATTCAAAATAGTTGATTGTGGCCAGAAAGAAACAAAAAAAAGAAGCTGCTACACCAGACAGGAAGTTTTGTAGTTTCTACCTCAGCCATGAAGCTGTCTTCTTGCAGAAACTGAGGTGGGATGCTGCGTAGCTTCTCCAGTGTCTCCACCAGTCCTGAACAGCCACGTAGTTTTTCGGAGGAGCCCAGGGCTAAGCGGACTAACAGCAGACCAACACGAAATAACACCTTGACCCCTGTGGGAGAAAGCCAGGCAGAGCAGTTGAGTTCAGGGCAAGCACTCTTGTACACTCTTGTCCATCCATCTGGCCAGGCCTATTCTGACCAGCAACAACATATTTCATGTTACTTTTGGCTGGAAGTTCTGGGATTCAAACTGGGTGTTCTTGCATTGAATAATACTGCTTCTCATGGTTTCTGGACAATCTAAGAGCTCCAGGGAAGCAGAATTAGATAATCTAAGAGCTCCAGGGAAGCAGAACTGGAGCTCCAGGGAAGCAGAATTAGAAAACTGGTGAATGAATTTACTGAAGTAATCCTTCGTACACCAAGCTATCCTGCTTACTCAGAGTGTAGGAGCTAATGTAGAATTGTAATTCCCAGAATTCCCACTCTTTGCGCATGCTCATAGAGAATTCTGGGAGCTACAGTCTCAGAATCTGTAGAAGGCTGGGGATGACTGTCCCTCCAAAAAAAGGATGAGTAATTTGGTAAAATATATTATATATAATTTGATAAAATATACTATATATAATTTGATTATACACACACACACACACACACACACACATATATATATATTCATTCTTAAGTTTTCACGGGTATTTATATGTATGGTATTCAGCTTTGTTCGGGTATTTTCCCATGTCATTATAGTTGTGCTTTTAAAGTTGTAGCAACGTTTGGGCAGAATCTCATCTGCCATCATCAGGCTTCTGTAAACACAATACAGAAGCCTGATGATGGCAGATGAGATTCTGCCGAAACGTTGCTACAACTTTAAAAGCACAACTATAATGACGTGGGAAAATACCTGAGCAAAGCTGAATACCATACATACACACATAGATAGATATAGATATAGATACAGATATAGATATATAGATATAGATAGATAGATATATGATATAATATATATAAAATATATTAGATATAATTTGATAAAATATATAGCTTAGCATTAAGGAGAAAACCTTCCACACACCAATTTCACCCGCGCTTTTTACAATTTTGTAGACAACAAACTAAAAGACTCAAGGTCCATCCCACCCGTGATTAGACCTAATGGTAAAGATTGCAACGACGACACCATTAAAGCCATCATCTTTAACACATTCTTTGGCTCAGAATTTGTAAACAGCAATGGATCATGCCCAGTATTTCCTAGCCGAACCACAGAAAACTGCAATGATCTAATACATATCGATTTTACAGAAGAAAATGTTGAAAAAGCACTACGCAATCTAAAACCATCTCTATCTATTGGACTGGACGGAATATGTGCCTACTTCTTAAAAAAGCTATCCACTGCCATAGCAGAACCTCTAAGCATAATCTGTGAAAAATCTTTCAGGACCAGCTCCTTGCCTAACCTATGGTCACAAGCCATGGTCATCCCCATCTTCAAAAAGGGAGACCCCAGCCTAGTTGAAATTTACAGACCAATCTCCTTATGCTGTGTCACCTGTAAAGTCATGGAATCAATTATTAACCAATCCATTATCCTCCACTTAGAGACAAACAACCTACTCTCTAATAAGCAATTTGGTTTCAGAAAAAAACTGTCCTGTAATCTGCAACTCTTACACTGCAAAAACACATGGACTACACAACTCGATCAGGGCAAAGCAATAGGCGCAATCTACATAGACTTCTGTAAAGCCTTTGCTTCAGTGGTACACGACAAACTACTCCTAAAACTAAAATCTTATGTTATCGCTGGACACCTGCATAACTGGATAGAAGCATTCCTGTCAAACAGACAACAAATGGTCAAAATAGGGAGTGTCCTATCAAATTCTGTACCTGTCAATAGAGGTGTCCCCCAAGGCAGTGTTCTAGGACCAACTCTCTTCATACGCTACATAAATGACCTCTGTGATCATATTAAGAGCAACTGCGTTCTCTTTGCTGATGATGTAAAGCTGTTCAATACCACAGACAATACTGCTACCCTTCAAAAAGATCTTGACTATGTATCAGAATGGTCAAACAAATGGCAACTTCAAATTTCAACAAATAAATGCTCTGTCTTACATATTGGCAAAGAAAATCAGAAAATAAAATACAAGCTGAATAGTCAAGACCTTGTTGATGACACAAACTCTGTCAAGGACCTTGGAATTTTCATCTCAAATGATCTAAGTGCTAGAGCCCACTGTAACAACATAGCCAAAAAGGCATTAAGAGTTGTTAACGTAATCCTACATAGCTTTTTCTCTGGTAATATCACACTACTAACGAGAGCATACAAAACATTTGCTAGACCAATTCTCGAATATAGCTCATCAGTCTGGAACCCACATTACGTATCTGATATTAGCACAATTGAGAAAGTCCAGAAATATTTCACAAGAAGAGTTCTCCACTCCCCCACTCGTTATATACCTTATGCCACCAGACTTGAAATTCTAGACCTAGAAAACCTTGAATTACGCCATCTTTGGTTCTGATCTAAGAATGGTATATAAAATTATACATTGCAACGACTTACCTGTCAATGAATATTTCAGCTTCAACCATAACAACATAAGAGCACACAATAGATACAAACTCAAGGTTAACTGCACCAAACTTGATTGCAGGAAATACGATTTCAGCAACAGAGTGGTCAATGTCTGGAATACTCTACCTGACTCTGTGGTTTCTTCCCCAAACCCCAAAAACTTTAACTTTAGACTTTCTACAATTGACCTCACACCTTTCCTAAGAGGTCTGTAGGGGGCGTGCATAAGCACACCAACATGCCTACCGTCCCTGTCCTATTGTATCTTTTATTTTTCTTATATGTACCTATTTCATGTATTCATACCTATGTATATACCTATTCTTATTATCTTGTAAGCAATTGACAAATCAAATTAAATAAATAAAAAATATTTTTCAGGATCTCAAGTGTATGTCCTTCAACCGTAGCTCCTGAAAATCAGCATACATTTCCCATCATTTTGAAGTGGAAACACTTAAAAAATACAGCAGAAGCCCTAAAATAACATAAAAATGAGGAAAAAAACTCCTCAAAAAACACCTTGCATAACGTTGGATTTTTGGTGATTTCTTGGGTGTGTCCATGAGCTTTTCTTGGCAATTAGTACAAGGACATATCTAACAATATGCTAGTATCTTTTTCCTGAATGTTTTTTCAACTTCCCATTTTATCTGTTTTACAGCCCTGGGATTCCTGAATAGTTCTTCATCTAAATAATTATGTGGCTTAGTGTGATCTGGCTTAGTGATTTTAGAATAACTCCATTCCAAAATGTAAAAAAACCAGAATGTCCTGTTTCTGTGAAAACACACAGAGCAAAGCTCTGCTTACTGAGCAGCTTCTCTACTTTGCTTTTACAAAAAAATTTTTTACGTGTGAGTCCATCATAATGTTGTCCATCTTGGTTCCAAATCATGACCGTCCCTGTCCTTCTCCATCCAATATCCTATTTCTTCTTAAATTTATTTCAGAAAGATTTTAATCTCTTTATCCATAGAAGATATCTCTTCCCAAAAGAAAGGTTGTTCTGACTCTCCTGCCTTTGTTTTCCAATTTAGCATCCTATGTCAACAGAGTTAGACTCTAGCAATTCATTCTCCCAATCATCTCATACCAGAGGTGGTATTCAGCAGGTTCTGACCAGTTCTGGAGAACCAATAGCAGAAATTTTGAGTAGTTCAGAGAACCGGCAAACACCACCTCTGACTGGCCCCGCCTCCATCTATTCTCTGCCTCCCGAGTCCCAGCTGATTGGTTGGGTCTTCATATGTCGCCCTGCACAGGAGAATGGAGCTGGAAAGCAGGCTAGTGGAGTGGGGAGGGAATGGGATTTTGCAGCAACCTTCCCCTGTCACGCCCACCAAGCGACACTCTCAGAACCAGTATTAATATTTTTTGAATCCTACCACTGCCTCATACCACTAGTTGCTGCCTTGCAAAGTTTTGCAATATGATTCTGCTTCTTGTCTCAGTTCAGACTTACAGATCCCCAGGTGCTCATTGCCCTCACTCACCTTCACTCAGGAAGACATCCCAGACTCTCAACACTGTGGGGAAGGGCAGCGTGCGGGCAAAGAGGCACAGGAACCACTCGGGCATGTACATCAAAGGGCCCACCCCATGTTTCTGCAAGTGCTTAAAGGCCTTCGGACACACGCGATGGAGGAGCGCAGTAAAAATTTCACTGTCTAGCACCAGCGCCTCCTGCAGGAAAAAGATACAGTGACATCATTTAATGAAATAGTTTTCTTCTCTGTTACTCTCAACTTTCATATCCTTGCCCGTCCTCAATTTATAACTATTTGTTTACAATCGTTAAAAATTATGTCAGTGTGGATACAAGCTGAGTATTAAAACACAGAATTGTTTTTTCTTTATTCTTCTATAAATGATAGAATATGATGTTTAAACTTCAACCTGCATGGATCCTTCTGGATGGGCATGGAAATTTTAATTAGAATCTTCTTGCCTCTGTAATGTTATGTTGCAACATAAACCAGTGCAGCAGACCAGTGACATCTTATGATCTGACTTGAGCGCTGCATTTTCATTTGTCACTTCCTTTTGGCAGCTGTGAAATCAGGCTTTAAATAGTGGTCATTCAACACAATTTTCATTTTAATATCTAAAAATGAAGATTTTATTTCAAATAAATTTCCTTGATGTCTTCTGAAAATGGTCTATTTACCAAGCAATGGCCGACTCGTCAAGTCACTTGCCTCTATGCTACAGTCAGGAAGTGGCATTATGGAAATTATTTCCCTTTTTGAATTTTGACCTTTCAATCATCAGAAAGGGACACACAGGTTGTGAAAGCCCAGTTACGGTTATGGGAAGTATTAAGAGAAGAATAATTCATGAAATGGCCCCTGGAAGATAGTATAGTGGCAGTAGGAGCTACTAAGCCCTTATCTCAGAATAGAATAGACAAGAGTGTGAAAGCCAAGGTATGAAGGCACAAAGCACTTCCAGGAGGGAAGATATGAGACTTCCAGCCTTCCAGCCTACAGTTTCATCCATCCACTACAGTAGGGGGTCTCCAAATTTAGCAGCTTTGAGACTTGTGGATTTCAACTCGCAGAGTTCCTCAGCCAACTGCCTGGGGAACTCCAGGAGTTAAAGTCCACAAATCTTAAAGTTACCAGGTTTGGAGACCCCTGCACTACAGTCTTGCTTGCCATCCTCACCTGGCACAATTCTTGAGCCTTAGGTTTTAATTTCATGCGTGAATCTTCTTTTATGTGAGTCAAATATGAAGTTGTATCACCTGAACTTTTGCCTTTAATCTATCTATTTAAAGTCTCAAAATCAAAATAAAAAATGCAGTCCTATTTTGCTCCCCCCTCTACCCCCCCCCCCCCCGGATCCCTAGGCACTCTCTTCCACTTCCTTGTCCCCCTCTTCCCATGGGGAACGAGATGCGAGCAGCTGATCAGCAGGCTTGTTGAAATGCCAGATCTGGAAAGAGCTGCTTTTTCAAAGTCCCATACTTCTAAAAGTCTTCTAATTACATGCCTGTTTTGCTTAATTAAAACCAGAGAGAGATTGAAAGGGGGGATATATTAGGGGTTCCATTCCTCTCCCCAATCAGTGGTAATTAATATCATCTCCAGCTGGAGAACATTCTGCCTAAATCAGCTAGGATGTTGCTTTCAACAAAGGAACGTAACAAACCATTTTCTCTGGCAACCTTCCTCCTGGAACCTTATGGAAAACATCATAAGAAGCTAAATTGATTCTTCTCGGGAAGAGTTGAAGGGCCAGATTGTTAAAGGCTGATCTGCATGTGATAAACCAGCACAAGCCAGCAGGCACCCAATGTCAAACCCTCACTCCTGTCCCATCACTGTTTTCCTGGCTGCTGGTATTGTCGAGAAGGAAAGGTGGGTACCAAAGCCAGAGGGCTAAACCCATGGCTTAGTTTTCCAAACCCTACAGATGGTTTTGATTAAGAGGATAGCACCATTTGGCAGCAAGCTGGAATAGAGGCTGTGGAAGAAGGATAAGCATTGGCAGTGGGGACAGAACAAAATATCTCAATATAGCTTCTGCTATTAACTTTAACCTTAAACTGTCTACCGTGGACCTCACTCCATTCCTAAGAGGTCTGTAAGGGGGCGTGCATAAGCACACCAGCATCCCTGTCCTACTGTTCCCATTTATTCATACTCATTCATTATGTATATACTTATACCTGTTTATACTTATATGTTTATATGTCATGTTCATACTTATACTTGTTTTTCTCATACATGCTTGAGAAACTAAAATAAATAAATAAATAAAATATTAAAAATTGGTGGGGAGAACTTTAATTCAACCCCAAAGAAAGGCCTTAAGAACCGCTGTCCCATTCCAGTTTGTTGATTCCCACCACCACAGGTGGATTTCCCTTCTTTCCTAAACCTCTCACCATTTGGGGGCTGTAGTAACCAGGCAGATAGTGGTCGCAGATCTGTACCAGGCACCAGAATGCTTGCTGGAAAAAAAATAAACAGGCAGCCATCAGAGAAGACAAACAGTAGCAGCCGGTAGAGATTTAGCATGGAATAACTATGATGTAGGAAAAATAAAATGGATGAAAATCTGACCATCTTGTCTAGAATTCTAGAGAGGGTTTGGGAAATCAGAGGAATACAACTTGGCTCCTCTCAGAGAACTTCAAAGGGTACATTAAAAAAAAATGTCAGGATGCCGTCAGGAGGTCACGATGATACAGTCACATTTCTGCCTATTTTTTATTTATGGCAATGCATATAAAGACGGACTCATCTACAGCTGCATCATCTGGACTAGCTGCATTTTAACACCACTGCCATGTTGACTTTTTTGACCTCACATGCAGACATCCCTTTCCTTTATGTTTTGACTTGTTGAAGGGCAGTGGAAGTAATTTGGTTTCTCAGGAGCTTTGGAAATTGGGTTGAAGCCCATCCAATTTCTATTTGGGAAGTATTTTAATGTTATATGGACTTACATCCTAGCCAGAAATGGCTCATATATTTTGTTAGATCAGTCAGTCAATCCAACAACCGTAGTGATAACTGTGAGGGTGAAGGCCTTTGCTTGAGACTCACCTCTGGTGGCATGTGCATGAGAAGCAGGGCACCCACTGGTCCTTGAGCTTGACAATAACCTTCTTGGGGCCGATACACAGTGTAGGCTTTCAGCAGCTGCAACAGCCCTTGCTGTCTATAACGGAATAGAGATCACAGAAGGCTTGAGGAAGCCATGGTCACATCCTTGCCTTGGGTTCACCAAATCCAACCCAGTAAGAGCACTCCAGGTCAGCTTTGTTATTCTGCTTTTAGGTAGAATCCTGTGCCCTGCCTTGGCCAGTGGGATTCAACCTGTTGCTCGGTCTTAGAATTTGTAAGTGGGCTTTCCATTCCCCGACACTCTACCATGGGGCAAGTGACCAGTCTACATATATGGTAGGATTGTCCACATTCCATAGATAAACTGGGTTCAAAGCAACTGGCTGGGATGATTCAAATGGTACCCTAATGCATCTGGAAAATTCAGCTTGGTGTTAGCCAAGTTAGAGTTGGAAATGGAATCAGATATACAAAGTATAAAGAATTATAGCCTGTATCATGTAACATGCTGAGTGTGGCTACTGGGTTAATTCATTTTCTACAGTCACACAACATGTTGAACCATTAGCCACACAAAGTTCGTATAACTCATTAAGCCTTACACACACACAAACTCAGAGCTAGGATCACTATTCTTTAGCCATGCTGCCATAGTTTTTCAGAAGATGTGATAAAGGGTTATAGGGACAGAGTTATCGAAAGTCCATTTCAGTCATCAAACAATTATCTAACTAAAAGCACCCCTGGCAGATTATTATCTAGCCTCTATCTGAAAATATTCGAGGAATGAAGTCTTTCTTCTTGTATCAATCCACAATCCCTTCCCTTCCCAGAGAGAGGTAGGTACACTTTAGAAGGCAGTGACCATATATGATTTTTAGAGCATGCATTGTGCACTATTATAATAAGATGAGCATGGCAGAGTTTGAATTTTCACCAAATGAGTGCCATAATATGATATTCTTCATGGGAAATTGGTGAGGTTGCTCTCATCATCTCTTTAGCCTTCCTTGGGTTTTCTTAATTCTGGCTTCTTTTGGTCTTTTTCCTGGTCATGTGGGTATCTTTTCAAGCAAAGCAGTAGCCCATTACTCATTGCTTTTATTTTCTACAAATGCCATTGGGATCTAGTGAAGCTAGTTCTTTGTTCTGCAACAGGCTAACTTCCTTTTAATTTCTAAAAAATTAAAGTTAAAACTGAGTGAAGAAGGAAGCCTTGTAACCCTAAAAAAAAACTATTTATGGATCTAATGCTGTTATGCAACATACAGAGCAACCCATAAGCTTGTTACAATTTAGATATGGAGTTTTGATTTTTTCAATCAACAAAAATATTGGGCACAAATTAAGAAAAAATAAAAAGAGATAGAATATGAAGCATTTATATTTATATTATTTATTTTCTCTAAAACAAATATGATGGATTGAAAATTTATTCAGACAACTACTCTGTGTATTTTAATCTGTAATAATCTATTCAAAAATTTCATTCTGCATACTCTATCCACTCACCCAGGACCTTCAGGAGACAGGAACATCTCATGGAAAGGGAATTGGCGGTGAATGTCTTTTGTGATAGTCTCCACCCATTGAGGATCACCAGGTACCTCAAGCAATTCCTGCAATAGCAACCAGACCTCTGTCAGTGATGGCCCCATATTTGCCCAACTCTTTCCCAACAGGAATACAAAAATTACAGGAACGCGATAGCTCAATGGGCTAAGACGCTGAGCTTGTCAATCAGAAAGGTCAGCAGTTCGGTGGTTCGAATCCCTAGCATCACGTAATGGAGCGAGCTCCAGTTACTTGTCCCAGCTTCTGCCAACCTAGCAGTTCGAAAGCATGTAAAAATGCAAGTAGAAAAATAGGGACTACTTTGGTGGGAAGGTAACGTTCCATGCACCTTCAGCATTTAGTTATGCCAGCCACATGACCACGGAGATGTCTTCGGATAGCGCTGGCTCTTCGGCTTTGTAACAGAGATGACAACTGTTACATCAGCCCTTAGAGTTGGAAACAACTCACACATATGTGCGAGGGAAACCTTTACCTTTACCTTCCCAACAATACCCCACATGTTTATATGTTGTTAAAGACAGATAAACACAATAAAGTTAGTAATAATATAGTGGTAGATAATGTGGTCTTCAGGCACTCAACATGCTACTTTCAGCATGTTACTTTATTAATAGTGCTTACGATATCATCTGGCTAAATTAAATCCTTCCAGACATCTAGTTGCTGATGTTGACATGCAGGAAACAAAAATCAAAAGCTGAAAGACAGAATTATTGTATTTTGCAACACGGAATGTAAAAAGCATGAAAACAGAAAAATGAAAGTCAAATGGACTGCACATGTTGACATCTTCTGCATCAGCTAATTGTAACCAAATAATATCAATATCAATAAAAGCAACGGGCAACTCTTTAAAATAACAGTTATCCAACTTTATCCTCCAAATCCTAACATTTGATGAAGAAGCTGGTGGGTTTTATGGTCAGTTTAAATCTGAAATTGAAAATCATGCTAGCCAGACATGGTTGGAGACTGGAATACTACAACTGAAAATAGTAAGGAGGAAAATGACTTGAACTGTATGCCCTACAGAAGCAGAAATGATGCAGGAGAATGATTTATTAGTTTCTATCAAGCCAGTGACTCCTTTATTGCGAACACAGTCTTCACAAATGATGTCTATAATTACCAGACGAAGGGCACAGAAATAAAACTGATTACATTATTGGTACAAGGAGATGCAAATGCTCAGTTACACAGTAAGGCAAATATGTGGCCAGGAGCACGGTGGGAAAAAATAGGCCTATTATTAAATATAAAAAAGACCAAATCAGTACAGTAATAACACGTTCAATGACCAGCTTTAGAAATGACACTGCAGTAGTGGATAACTTTTGCCTGTTAGGATCAGTTACTGAACAAAAAGAAACTAGCAAGAAATACTACCTCTTTGGTAGAGTACAAATGAATGTTCAGATGTGATATATCTATGGCCATAAAGATCAGAAACTATGCGGACAATAGTTTTCCATGTGGTACCCTGTGGAAATGAAAATTGATTTTTGAAGAAGCAAGATAGTGTTTTAGAATTCTTAAGAATGTCATGGATAACCAAGAAAATAAACAAATGGCTCATCAAACAATCCAGAGCTTTCACTCAAGATCAGGCTCAATTTGTCACATTTTGGACACATTGTACATAGTCAGAGTTCCCTTGAGAAATCCATAATATTAAGAGAGATGGAAGGAAAGAGAAGCAGAAAATGATTAGAAACAAAATGGATGGATTTGACTATAAAGGCAATAGGTTTATATTATAATGCAAAAACCATAAAGGGCTGGGGTGGGAGAGATCAACTTGGAGAAGGTCTGTCTGTGATACTACTAAGATTTGTAACCAACTTAATGGCACATAATCTAAATAGATTTCAACTACTTTGGTTTACTTGGACCATTCTGTATTTGCTTAAGGTTTTTTGGTTTTGTAATTATATTATTCTGCATACATTTCAATTCTTTTAATTGCATATTGTTGCCTTGAAAACATATTTTTGCTGAAAGCACAATATTTTTAAGTTAATAGATATTACAAATGAATATCAACCAATAACATGGAAGTAAGTCCAATAGACTTACTCCCTCTTAAGTGTCCATAGGATTGTGTTTCAAAGTATTCCTCAATTTAAAGAAATGCTCTTGCCATACCTTTGTTAGAGATGCTGTACTATACGAAGCAGGCCTCAGGTCTTAATGTAAATATTCAAATAATCAACAGAAGAGGAGATATAAGTCAAGAAGAATGTGTGGTTAGTTTGCTAATTAATTAATATAAAGGCACAGATGAAAAGGATAAGTGCAATAGCAGAAGGGGTGGTTGTCCTGTTGGCTGATGTGATAATAGAACATTTCTAAACATTTCTTTTAACATGTGTAGAATATCTTGTGCCTCAAAAGCTAGAATAAGACACAGGCTTACCTGGTACTTTCCAGGGCTCCTCTCCATTTTGGCTTGTCCTCCACACAACAGAGGCCAACAACGTGCACGTAAAGAGGAAGGGATTCCTTTTCGGCACAGCAGCTTTATCTGAATTGTTATAAACCATATAAACTAAGTACATAATGATCCTGTATAGAACCCAATCCCATAAAGAATCCCAATACCCTTTGTCCCTATAGCTAGCCAAGGTTTGAGCTACAGACACCAGGAAAGACTCAACTTTTTCTCTGTTTTTTTAAAAACATCTAGCTAAAACTGTGGTGATTGCCAGGGAAATTTAAACAGTGATAGGCCATCACCAGAAACTCTAATTCCAATTCTTCTTTAGCTGTTTCAGTTGAGGCAACCTTACAAAGACTAAACTGATGTGTGGAACCAATAATAGATTGAATGGGAAGCTGGAGCTCAGCACTCACAAGATGAGGGTATCATTGGCATGCTTATCACCAATCTAGCCTTTTCTGGTTGGCTTCATACTACAGCATGGAGTGGTAGCATATGAATGGTCCACTGGATGTTGCTGAACTGTTCCCTGCTGTAGCCAGAATGGCCAGCGATTAAAGATAGTGGGATTGCAGCCAACAATATATAGAGAACAATGTACCTATTGGTATAGAAAAATAGCTTTATGGCAGTCTGCTGTTAGTATTTTCATTTTCTTAGTAAATTGTGGCTTCTGTAAGTGAACATAACTTATTCTCAATCATCCATATACTTACCTATATACCTCTTCCCTTTCCCTCCCTCCCTCCCTCTCGCTCTGTTTGCCTTTAGAGTTTTATTGCTGTAAATAGTCCCCCCCCCCCCAATTGTTTCCCAAGAAAACATAGAAGATACCAAGCCATGTTGATCACACAAAAAGTTCCAGGAATTATATTAGGGCAATATCGTTAGTAGGTTAATCTCAAAGGTGTTTTGTAAACTTAGATAGGCTTGATGAAAGGTTTGGATCCTTGTATGGATTTTAGGATCACAATATTAAACAGTATAAAGACAACCCAAAAAATTAAGATGAAATTAAAAAGAATTAAAAGCAAATGGCAAGTTTCACAATCCAATTAATATATGAAGAATTCAACAGCCTCATAATGTTAAAGGGTCCTTGGTGCCAAAAAGGATTACTCATCTTTCATGTGAACTTGCTCCTAGGCTAAGCTTGCCTTTGGAAAACAAACTTGGAGTAATTCATGCCCATCTGAGATAAGGTTGGTGCAGGAAGATTTCTCACTTTTAGAATCTATTTGTTAGAAAGATCGTCGTAACTTCTGTCCCTTTGGCTTCATGCAAAGATCTTTTCATTTTTTTCCTGGGTTTTTAATGTAAGTTCTTTAATTTAATATCAGTTTATGCTGCAGTGGATTTGCAAATATTAATTGCAATGAAAGCTGTAATATTAATATTTCAAGGAAACTGCAACCATTGGTTACAAAAACTTAGCATCTTAGACAGTGGTGGGATTCAATTTTTTTACTGGGTGTGGTTTGGCGGATGTGGCATGGCTTGGTGGGTGTGGCTTGGTGGGCATGGCAGGGGATGGATACTGCAAAATCTTCATTCCCATTCCACTCCAGGGGAAGCTTATTGTAAAATCTCCATTCCCACCCCATTCCTGGGGGAAGGTTACTGCAAAATCCCATTCCATCCCTACCCCACTAACCTGCTTTCCAGCTCCGTTCTCCTGTGCAGGGCAACAAAGGAAGACCCAACTGATCAGCTGGGACTTGAGAGGCAGAGAATAGATTGGGGGCAGGGCCAGTCAGAGGTGGTATTTGCCGGTTCTCCGAACTACTCAAAATTTCTGTTACTGGTTCTCCAGAACTGGTCAGAAGCTGCTGAATACCACCTCTGATCTTGGAACTCCTTCTATCTATATTGTTCTATTTGGACTGTTTCTGTTTGGGGTTGGTATGTACAAAAGAGAGATAAGAGAAAGTTTCTGATAAGTTTCAGATATTATTCCATCTCACAGTATAATGTACTGTATTTGGTCTAGACTTTGTTCTATGAAGTTAACCATTTGCTATTTATTCAATAAATCATGGTTAACTGTCATTTAATATGTCAAATGCACATTACTTTTTGAACATAATTTGAAATTATGATAGGGTTCACTAAAGACTTTGATGAAAAAATGTGATGAAATCACCCATTTAAGGAAACAATGCTAGATACCTTCTTACCTTCCTGTAGCGCCGGGCCATGGTTTTCTCCCAGTGAGCTGTCATTTCCAACCATTTGGTTTCACGGCGTCGGATGAGCACAACAGGAAGATGATCTTGACTGCATATGAAGGAGAGAAAAGCAAAACTTAGGTCACCTCTCTAAATTTCCTGTAAGGCCATAATGCTCCCCATCGTACTTTCCCACTGTGAAAAAAAATATTGCAAGACATTATTACTCTTCATGAGGGCTCCTATTAAGTCCATTTTTATAGAGTCTATTTTTAAATTCTGGGAGTTGAAGTCCACAAATCATAAAGGGGCCATAGTTGCCCACCTCTGCTATAGAGCAGGGATCTCCAACTTAGGCAACTTTAAGACCTATGGACTTCAATTCCCAGAATTCCTCAGTCAGCTTTGCTTTGCTGGCTGAGGAATTCTGGGAGTTGAAGTCCAAAAGTCTTAAAGTTGCCACGGTTGGAGACCCCTGCTATAAAGGATACAGAGGTTTGCTGAAGTATTGAAGTATTAATCAATAGCTGCTCAAAGTGTAAACTACAGAAGTGTTGATTTTGGCTATTGATTGTCCTCTGAAAAGGCATCCCTTTTCCCCTTGACAAAAATCCAGTTTGAAACTGGCTATGGCTCATGTGCTTCTTGTGTGGACAGGCGGTTTGCATATACCTGCATCCAGGACAGTTCTGTGATTATCACCATACAGGCACACACACAAACACACAAGTTGAAAACCTAAATAGGTTAATATCGAGACATAACATTTGTAGATGCCTTATTCTTCCTTTTGAGCGATTTCCATTCCTCCTTCAGTTTACTTCAGCAGAAATCCCTGTCAAAAATATGCAGGTTCTCCCCATATCAATCACTCAGTGAGTTTATTTCAGCATCCTACAGACCATAACAAAGTACAATATTATTTTGAAAAGCCAATGCTGTATCTCTTTACTATAGCCCTCAAACCCCAAGTCATATTAGCATGAAATTAAATTATTAAATTGGGTCAAATATTTTGGATTAATGGAATAATATGTGATAAAGGGGGTTGAAATTTGCACTATGTTGTGATCTTAAAGAAAATTCTTAAATGATGTATCATTGGTACATGACGTCAGGAACTATTTAGAAAGTATAAAGGGATTTCCAATGGATGTTGAAAAAGTACACAACATAAAGGGATATTTTATCATGCTTTAGTGGACCTGCAAAAAAGCTAAAAAAATGTTGGATTCAAATATATACATTACAGAGGATTTTACAAAATTAATATTCAGTTGAAGCCAGAATTTTTCTTAATTTTTTTCTTAAACACGAGAGGGAAAAAACATGTTTGAAAAAGCAATACAATCTACATGGATATGTGAAATATAAAACCAAGCAAAACCTGAACAAATGGAAAATGTAGTAACAGCAGAAATTGTATTAGAACAAACTAAGAAGTGAAGAATTGGAGTGAAAGAATGAAGAAAAGATGAATTTCATTGATTTTGACCCAAGCCTATGTCCATTTTACAGCCTCATCTTGAAAATCATTTCAATCAAATTTGCAAGAAGGGTTAATAGAAGACTGGCCAACAGGCCAAATGTTTTTGATCACAAAAGTCAAAACAAAAGAAATACCCAACAATAAATCTACAAACACAGGTCTCAAATTCATTGTGCTCCAAAGAACAAAAATTCTAGAGGTACAAAATACTAAATTTTGATTGACAAAACAATGCTACGAAACTAAAAAAGATTGAATAACACAATATGTCTAAGTCTAAATGCTATTGCTGTATGATTAAAAGGCACATTGAAACAATCATTTAGTTACTTTTGAATAAATCTGAGTATTACCATTTGAAGGCTAAAAGCAGTAAATCTTTATCTGGAAGTTATTTAAGAAATTATATTCAGGTAGAACACAAATGCTGACTACATTTAAATAAATTTTGTCAGGAGCAGGTATTGAAAATATTGATTTCAGCTAAAAAGACATGTTAATTTCATAAAAAGAGATGTCAGCTTCCTTTTTTTTTCTGCAGAGAAGGAACAGTTGATTTAAAACAAGAAAAGTCCTTGCTGGAACCTTCTTCAGCCCAAAGGCAGTGGTTGCGGGGGGGGGGGGGGGGGGGGGGGGGGGGGAATCTGGAGCCCCCTTCTTGTTGCCACATTGTTTCGATAGGAAGTTACACATGGAGCAGCAGAAACAGTGGTGAGGCAATTACAGTGGGAAAGAGAGAAGAGGCAGAGATTTATCCAGTAAGAAGACCCATCCAAGAGAGTGGGTGTGATCTTCCGGCTGCCTTTTAAAGAGCCAAGTTCAAGCATCTTTAATATGAAGCACGTATGCCCACAAAATGCTCTGCAACCGGAAAGGGTGAGGAGGCTGTTCTCTGAGTCAGAAGGCTGTACTCCTTTTCTGCTATGACCTCAGCTCCTGAGATGAGTTCCTATGATGCAAAAGCCCCGAGCGATTTTCTTATCTGTATCTTAGCATAGATTATTTACCCGGACACCGAGGGTAAAATGAGATGATCCCGAGTCCTTTGGGAAAATGGTACAGTATTGGAATACCAGAATATCTATACACTGGAATACCAGAATATCTGCATACCAGAGGTCAGGGCAGAACTGAGTCACTACAGGATCCACTGCTTGGATCTTGGCTAGGCTAAACAGGACAAATCTTTTGCTCAGAAACAGTCTTTCCTTAAAAACAATCTCTCTTTTCCTCCAGAAACGAAATGTAGCATGACTCCCTTCCTCAACATCTTGGATGTTCAGATAACAGGGCATAACCCAGTTGATGATTGCATTTTAAATGACTTTCAAGCTTGCTGACAGAATTGAAGCAAATGTGAGGCATATCTGGGGTGGGGTCAACAGTATCAAAATGGTGGGAAGAACTGAATAATTAAAAGCCCCACCCCTTTTTTACATGCATGTGATGGGTGTAATGCATATTAAAATATTGGCAATACATACTGTCTGGTTTGGTACAGCAACCAAACAGGACTGGTACAGACTCCAATGGATAGTTAAGACTGCAGAAAGAACTGTTGCAACCAGCCTGCCTTCCAGAGAGGACCTGTATATTGTGAGGATTAGAAGGGCTGAGAAAATATCTACAGACCCCTCATATTCAGGACATACACTGTTTCAACGCCTCCCCTCAGAATGCCACCATGGGGCATTGCATGCCAAAACATCTAGTCAGAGATCACTCTGCTGAGCATCTAATTCTCATAGTACCATCTAATGTCTATGTATATTTACTCATGTAGTATGGCTGTAGTATTATTATCCTTATCTTCTTTACTACTACCTCTTATTGATATTATTATTACTATGATGATGATGATGATGATTTTGCTGCTGCTTTGCATTTACACTGAGGGGACAAAGTCCTTGTGTGCAGGGGTGGGATTCAAATTTTTAACAACCGGTCATGTGGGCGTCGCTTAGTTGGTGGGCATGGCTTGGTAGTCATGTTATTGGCTGGGCATGGCCAACTCAATATCAGTCACATTGAGGCACGCATCTCCACACCTGGCTTCTCATGACTGTGGGGATGCTGCAACCATTGTAAGTGTGAAAATGGTCATAAGTCACTTTTTTCAGTGCCATTGTAACTTTGAATGATCACTCCACACCAGCAAAGTACCAGCAAAGAAGGGAAAAAAAACTCCAGAGAAGTTCCTGAGATAGGAAGTCTAGTCCTGCCAAGAATGTAATAAGGGTTAACGGAGAGGCAGTTTCTGTAAGCAACACCAGAATGTTTCCTTCCTGCTTTCCTTACAGGATTAGGCCTGTAATTTCTTCTAACAACCGGTTCTCCGAACTGCTTAGAATGTTAACAATCGGTTCTAGTGAATAGGTGAGAATTGGTAGAATCTCACCCCTGCTTGTGTGTCTAATCACACTTGACCAATATTCTATTCTATTCTATTCTATTCTATTCTATTCTATTCTATTCTATTCTATTCTATTCTATTCTATTTCTATTCTATTCCATTTCATTCCATTCCATTCCATTCTTAAAAGGGGGTAGGGATTTGGTTATTTTAATTCTATTATCTCCCTTCCCATTTATGCCTATGAAGGTATTACAAGAGATTAATCATGCCTGTAATGAGTTGTTTCCCCCTTGGTATGTTTTGCACCAACCTGAAGCAGGAATCCTTTCATACTTGGAAATCATGCTTCTTTTCTCCTTCCCTCCCTCCACTTTATTTTTTTTTTCAGCCTGTAAGACAAGGGGAAACAATGGTGGCATATCTCATCTCTGGAAGGCAGGAGGCTTCAAAGATAGTTTTTTTTTTAAAAAAGGACAGTAAAACAGGAGCATCAGGAATTTAAAATTCTCCATTTACTGCTTATTTTCACCATGATTTACTGCTTAACTTCACCTCAAGGACAGAAAACCCCGATCTTGAGAAAATTCCAGTGGCTGCCAAGAAAGGGGTGTGTGTGTGTATATGTGTGTGTGTGTGTGTGTGTGAGAGAGAGAGAGAGAGAGAGAGAAAGATGTTTAAATAGTTCTTCTCACATTAAAGACAATCTTGATCTATCTATGTTAAGAGTGCCCACATCAATTCCTTGCTGCTGCTTGCTGCAGGTCATGGTTTATATAGTCCCATCTTCATTATCTCAAAATATGAGACATACACACATATTTTCTTCTTCAAGGAGCTCTGAAAAAAATACATTTGCAATTAGGAAGGAGAAGCTTAGCATTCTCTAAAGGGTTGTCCGCATTTCATCAGACCCTGGTTTCACAATTCTTTCCAGGAAGTCTTGAAAGTTGAAATGGTTTAAAACTGATGAGGATTTCTACTTTAATGTGACTAAAAAGAATTAATACAAATGTGTTGAGTTCAGCCTTCCGAAGTCATGTAGACCAAAATCTCAAGAAACACACTCAATAGCCACCATAACCACAACGTGTATTTTCAGGATGCACAAGTTGTCATAGATACGGTGAGAGGATGTGGCTGAGCTACATTGCTAAAACAGGAAATGTTAGTTAATAGGTAGGCAAAGACATTTTCCACTCAGGCCTTCTTTGACATTACAAATAATTTTGATCTGAACTTCATTGTTAAGAGTGCTCTTATAACACTGCTTGCAAATCTCTTGTGAATCTACTGACTGGCTGGCTACATAGACACTTATATTGGAGTTGAGGGGCTTGTCTTCCCCAGCTAAGGGTGTTAGGACTATAATGATTGTGTAACAATGACGGCAAACCCTTTGGGCTTGGTGTATCAAAAATTCAGAAAATGCCTAATTTGACTGGGCTCACATAGCACTCACTCATACACACACACACACACACACACACACACACACACACAAAGATAAATAATTCTCTATCTCCCTACATCCAGGCAACCCTGAAAAGCCTCTGAAAACCATGCAAAAGTACATCCCATTCTTGCATGAATTTTGGAGGCTCTGTAGAAGAGCATATTCCCCTCATGCAACTTCCAGGCAGCCTGTAGGCCATGCAAGACCATACCCCATTCTCGTGCTACCTCTGCATGAGGCATGAGAAAATCATATGAAAATGGGGCATCTTTCAAAAATAGTTATAGGGTGCTGGTAAAGGCTTAACGTCCTAGCATGTTCCCTTTGACATGTGTAGCATGGGTTCGCCATTACTGGTGCACAGACTGTCATCTTGACACATAATAGCATTTAAACAGACTATAGTTCCAGTCAGAATGGATGACAATTCAGATTTTATTTTGATTCAGTTAATCAAATAGGAATGTAGGGCATCATTTACAGATACAATTACCATTATCCAGACAGAGTACTCCAATTGCCTTGTATTACAAGGATAAAATATATGATATCTGCAGGAGATTTAATATGGTTAAACTTGGCAAGTTTAAGACTTGTGGACTTCAACTCCCAGAATTCCTGAGCTAACATGACTGGAGGAAGAATTCTGGGAGTTGAAGTCCACGAGTCTTAAAGCTGTCAAGTTTGAAGAGCCCTGCACTACGCCAGTTCTAACCTGTAATGAACAATGAGAGGGTGCAAAAAACCCCACCCTCCAAACATTTACCACCTCTACATATTTGACCTACTCCAATTATAAAAAGTTACAATTATAAACCAATTATACAACAATGGTGCTCTTTGGTGATTTAAAATTATTAATCAACAGGAAAGGGGGAAAATGGGTCCTTTAAATATATTTTAAAGAGATTTGTTATCACACTGATGAGTAATGATATACATTTAAAGTTTTTGAGAATGTAGGAGCAGCAGTATGACTGCCTAATTTGGATAACAGTTCACTCTTTTTTAGGATTCCTGGAGGGAATTTGTCCCTGTCCTGACATTAAGCCAATTTTAGAGTTTTATTGCAATTCTGTTTCAAGATGACAGGGAACCTTGCCACCAGTTTTTGGTAATTGTGATTAAAAAATGTCCAAGTTCTACAAGAAGGGAGATTGGATGCATGAAACTCTTGAATACCAGTGTATCCATCTTTGAAATGCTTCCACTAAAGTTGCTATGTTTCACTTCTCATCTTGGGACTGTCCCAAGAAGGTTCCACAGCCATTGGAAAGTACAGATTTTATCTGTACCATTGAGAGTAAGATAAACCCCCACAAGTAGCCTCAATGACTCTCAGAGACCTAATGACTGACATTCAGAATGCTAACAACCAGCTAAGGAATATCACTGCACTTAAGTTAGTAACATTAAGCGAATCTGGCTTTCCCATTGATTTTGCTTGTCAAGAAGGTTGCAAAAAGTGATCGCATGATCTTGGGACACAGCAACAATTATAAGTATGAACCACTTGCCAAGCATCTGAATTTTGATCACATGATCATGGGGATGCCTCAAAGTCGTAAGTGTGAAAAATGGTCATGTCACTTTTTTCAGTGCTGTTGTAATGTGAACAGTTACTAAATGTTGTAAGTCGAGGACCACCTGTATTGCCTATTTTCCTTGGGAGAAAAATTAGTTCCTATCATCCTCATCCAGCAAATCACATCTGAGTTACAAACAGGTCCCATGTGCTCCACTGATAAGAATGCAGGTGAACACCTTTATCTTATGTGTCTGGATCTCTCTGACTTGATTAAATGCCTCTTTTGGTGTGTATAAATTCATTTCATCAAGCCTCAAGTCTTTTTACATCAGCCTGTTTCAACCTGATACCTTTCAAATACATGAGGATTAAAGTTCACTCATCTAGTATGACCATAAAGCTAGAAAAAAGGAATAGATTCAGATCCACAAACTTGAAACTGGGATTCTAACCTGTGGCCTCTGTCAAAATAATACCAAATAACCACAATTTTGTGACATTTTTCCATTCTAGCCAGATTTTCCTAATTGAATATTTGAATTTAAATCTAAAATATCTGGCTTTTTCTTGGAAATGTTACTCTAATCTATAGGCCTTTTTATTTTATAATAATTATATCCTTTAATACTAGCTAAGTTAAAAACAAAAAATAGCAAAATAATTTCCACCTCTAATTTTAAATTGTTATTTTATTGGGGGCAGTCTCCTAAGACATTACCAGAAAATTACAAAGAGAATCAGATGTTACAATAGATTTTGTGAAATAAATCTAGAGATAGTCACTTAGACCAGTGGTAGTCAACCTGGTCCCCATCGCCCACTAGTGGGCATTCCAGCTTTCATGGTGGACGGTAGGGGTTTTGTCCCCTACTTTATAAATCACCATTACTGTGGGACCGGTGGGCAGTTAGAGAAAATTTTACTACTAACAGAGATATAGCACAGTATTTAAATAAAATGATTCAGTTGAGATCTCCATATGTGGGATTGATTGGGGTAGATTGCAAGGGCGACTCTGAAATATAATGTTATTATATTTTATCTATATCTTAAATTACTGTACATTATTACAATTTTATTTTGGATTGTATTTTATTTTATTACTATTTCATCTTAAATTGTATTTTGTCTAGATTCCATTTTAAATTGTATTTTACCAAGTTCCATTTTAAATTGTATTTTATCAAGTTCCATTTTAAATAGTATTTTATCAAATTTCATTTTGAATTGCTTTTATTAAACTTTAGTAACAAATTGTTGCTGGAACTTTGCACTTTGATATGGCCCAAGGGCTAATCAATAAAGACTTATTATTACTAACAGAGATACAAAAGTGGGCAGTAAGTATAAAAAGGTTGACTACCCCTGACTTAGAAGAATGGGCCAGAAGGTACTAGTTCAACACAGATTGCTTCCTCCAAAAGAGAAGTTGGGGAAAAAAAGGCCTTCCCTGGAAGATATTAGTCTAAAATTACCGAACAATAGGGTAGAATAGGGATGGATAATTATTTATATACCTCCTTTTTGCCTTTGAACCTTGCCACATCTGAAGTAAATAATATATCTTGGAAAATTACATTAAGCCAAGACATATTTATCGCCTTTCAGTTTTTCATCCCCATCTGCTAAGTACATTTCCTTCCAAAGTTCTACGGAAATGACACCTTATTTCTAATGATTAGAAATATTATTATTTTAAGTATCTATAGAGGCAGCCAGTCAGGTAAGAACAAAATAATCTGATATGTATGAAAACTATTTCTGCAAAGTGAAGCAGTCAGAAACAGAAAGAACTCAGAAAGGAGTAGCTGAGAATATGAAATTTTTCTACTAGCTTGAAAAGAGATTTCATCCACTTGTCTACACCAAACTCAATGCCATTTTTCCCTTGAGGGTCATTCCTCACCCTTCCAGCCACCTGTGGTGCAGAAGTTGCCTCTTACCCATTCTGGAGGCTACTTCCTCCAATAAAGCCGTAGCGATCCGTCTTGCGGTAGGGAGCCATGCCATTCAGCTCAGAGTCGGAGCCCAGAGAGCTGACATCATCACGCAAGTAGAAATCAAAGGCATCTGGTAGTTCCGCCATAGCTTGGCTTATATTATCAGCTGACAGAGAAGGATCTGACATTTTCCCCTACCATTCAAATCTTTTGAATCAAGTGAAACTGCCAATTTTGTGATTTATCTCATGTTGACTTCAGGCCCTTGGCCCAGCGACTTCGGAAGAGAAGACTGCCTCTATGAACGTACCCCTACTGTTATGACTAGAGTTCCTCACAGGTTCTGCAAGCTATTTCCTCTCAAAACCATTTCCTGATGTAATACACTGCACTATGAAATGAGTAAGGCAAAGGGGTGGAGAACAAGAAAAGATGGAAGGGCACAGAGGAAGGAAGGGAGGCAATCAATAGTTCCCTTGCAAAGTAAAAAAAAAAAAGCTGCAAATACACCCCCAGGAGATGACCCCCCCCCTTCCATTCTCTCAGTCTCTTCCCTATAGGCAGAGTAAAACTAGGTGCTGGGCCACAGCCTACTTTCATTATAATGAAGGTGAATATACGTGTCCTAGGATAATGTTGCAGGATCCAATCTGAGTCGGTCACCCAGACCAGAGATATTGTCTTCCAAGTTTTCAGAGTTGTGCTAAAGCAGATCCTCAGGGAACTTCAGGCTAGAGAGGAATTCCCTGAAGATGGGCTCCAGCTTGAGTCCAAAAGTTCGGAAGACAAGCTTTTGGTGACCAACGCAGATTGGATCCTGCAACAATACTTATTACTGTGGTCATTTTTATTATCCCAGCTGTTATGAATAATTATTTTTTTAATCTAGAGTCTACCTTTCGTCCCCAAAGCCTAAAAGAAAAGACACAGTTCTCTCCAGGGCATTTTATCTCTACAGAGAAATAACTATTGGTTCAAAATTACGCAGTGTCTTCATTGAGTAGTTATTTGAACTGGACCTTACCTCCTCCTAGGATGACGTTAGGCCCATTACAACGTATTGTCCCTGTGGAATAATTTAGGTAGAGATAAAATGCTACCAGTATGACAGGCTGATTTCAATAGTCATCATATACATGAAAGTTCTCCAAAGATTAACCCATTTTCTTAGGTCCATTTGAGTTGCATTATTTGGAGTTGTCAAGATAAGTTTATGTGATTCCTAGATGTGCTGGAAATCACTCAGATTATCTATAAAATTTATAAATAAAAGATGTTAATTTATAGCCTCAATAAATTTGTGTCATACTTTGAACTAGACTGACTCTCCAAATGTGCAAGCACAGTTCTAGCAGAGTACCCTCGAAATGCTGGAATAGCTGCAGTCTTTCTATGCTTAAGCTCTTTTCGTTACAGATGCTGGTTGCTCAACACGATCTAGATCATAAATGACTACTCTTTGCTGTTGTTGGATAGTTGTCTCAAGAAGACACGTACTTCCTTGAAGACACAGGAATTACTGTGGGAATCATGGTTGTTCTTTATTACTCACAAGATTTGGGTAGACGTGTGTTTCTGATTATGTAAGAATATGTCAACAAATCCAGTTTTGTTTTACATGTATATATTCTAAATAGCAGTAGATATTAACACACATCCAGACATGGATAATGATGGGTTCTTAAACTCAGCATACACAAAGGATGAAAAATTCATGAGTCATTGGTGTATATATTTAAATGCAGATTTCACAAATTCCTAAACAACTGAAAGGTTGTTATAGGAATTTTATATAGGAATTTTCTCTCTGAATTCTTTAGTGACTTGTATGCAAAGTAGTGTATGGACAATTGAAGTTGGCTCAACTGTACCTCTGCAGTTTGTTTGACTCATCCCAAGGTGTGGTACTGAAAGATTTAATCTGTTTTGAATTGGAAAGAACATAAATGTAGAAAAATGTAGCACTAGAGATGTAAAACTGTGTTTTTACAACATACTCATACCACACAGAATCACGGTTTAGTGCAGGGTTGTCAAACTTGGTTTCACTGAGGGCCACATCAGGGTTGTGTTTGACCTTGGAGGGCCAGAGGGTCGTGGCTGGTGTGGGCGTGACCATGGTGGGAGTGACATAGTTCTCGTGTTGGGAGGTACCTGTGGTGGCCAAGTGCTAAGGCAGGACTTCCCCGAGACCCTCCCTCACTCTCATTATAATCTTCTACCTTTCTTCTTCCTTCCCCTCTTTCTTATTTTTCCTTCTTTGTTCTCTTCCCTTCTTTTTCTTTGTCTTTCCACTTTCCCTTTCTCCTTTCCTGTCCCTTCTTGCATGCTCAAATGCAAAAGGGGAAACATTTCTCCTTTTGTTTTGTTTTTAGTTTGTTCTCCTGCCAGCAAAAACAGAGCTCAGGAGACCATGCACTCCATTTTTGCTGTCAGAAGCACCACAGGCCGGTCCTTTGCTGTTTCCAGGCAGGCCACGTGGGCCAGATCTAAGCACCCTGCGGGCCGCATCCAGCCCGCAGGCCTTGAGTTTGACACCCCTGGTTTAGTGAATTGATCTAATTGCCTGTCTTTTATAAGATGAACTATAAGCTAACCACTTGGACTGGATCTCCACACTAGGCACAAACTATTTGCTCCCATAGCCTTGGCTTAGTCTACTGCACAAAGTCAGGGGATATTGATGGCACTCTCCAACAGAGAGGGAAGAAGGGACAGCAAAGGGGCAAAGCATAGGGAGGCAAAGGATCTATGCTTGCTTGAGGCAGGGAGAAAGGCAGGCAGCAGAGAAGACGAAGGGTAGCAACAGTTTGGTCTGGAGAAGGCAAGGTAGGTCAAGCCTGGACTGGTGAGAGCATGTGACCTGCTGCATGAAGGTTTACCTAAAGAAATTGTGACCCAAGGCAAGATATTCCACAGGGTTGATATTCCTGATCCAAGAAAAGAAGAAGAAAGCTGCTTGCTGACCAGGACTCTGGTCTCTCTGGGAGCCAAGGCAGAAATGGCCATGGGGATACAAGCCCAGTGGCTGAACTGAGAGTGGCCGTCTGTGCAACAGGGCAATTGGACCTGCTGGTTGCCGACTTGGACTGTTCCTTTCCAAGGGCTTGCTCTGTTTGGGAAGATGAAATACCACTTTCCTGGCAGACGGAGTTACTCTGACATCAGCCTTCTGCAGCAGCAGGCTGGCATGAAGATGGAGCTTCTGCTACCAAGCTAACAGGTAAGAAGGCCACGAGGAAGAGCACTCGGAGAGGAATGAGGACTTAAGAGCTGGTTTTTAAATTCAGCTTCCATGGGATTTTGCATTGGATATCTTAAGACAAGTAGCCATTTTTCTACTCTGTTTTCTCTCTCTTTCAGATGCATATGATAGGTACCAGTTCACCCGGCTTCTTAGGGAAATGAATTAGCCAAAAGTACTTCGCATTTTCAAAGCGCTATGGGTCCCCATATTTGTCCGCCAGCTGCTTCTTCCGACTCTACCGGGACCTGTGTGAAGTTCCCAGAAGCCTCTCGCCGCAACCATCTCCTCCTCCTCCTCCTCCCCCCTCCTTTTTCCTAGGCTCGGCCAAAGCTCGCGCAATCGCAAGAGAAGCCTCGTGTTGATCCCTCCAGCCTGGAGGTGGTGGTGTCGGCAGCAGAGGCCGGGGCCCATTGGCTCTCACGGTTTCCTCTTCTGCGGGTTGCTTTCGGAGGAGGAGGAGACTCCTTGGCAAGAAATAGGAAAAGAAAGCCGGCCTTTCCTTTCCTTTTGCTTGCTTAGGACCACCGAGCGGGGCGGGAGGGGGGCGCGCCGAGGGGGAAGGAAGGAAGGAACCAGGCGATCCCAGCTTCTTAGGACGCCATGTCGGACGGCGAGAAGCTCAATTTAGATTCCATCATCGGGCGCCTGCTGGAAGGTAAGGGGCTGGGGCTGGGCCGGGCTTTGTGTGGCTGAAAGCGATTGGAGTGCCCGGGCGGCACAGAGTCCCGGGGAAGGGCGAGGCGGCGGACCTTGCCCGCTTTCCGATCCCCCTCCCCGCGCTGGAATGTCCCACGCCGCCCCCGCAGCGGCGCCTCTTTTCCAGACGGCAGGGCGCTCTCGACCGGCGCCAGGATTTCCAAGCAGCGGTTTTACTTCCCCGATCTGGGCCGGAGGAGAAAGGAACCGGATCGAGCTGTATTGCGTGATCTTGGCGCCTCGGCATTTTTTTCCCACGCGTGTGTGGGATCGAAACGGCTGAGAAGCGCACTTTTCGTTTCCCTGTCGTGCTCGCAGATCGAGAGGCCTCCAGTGACGCGGGCGGAGCGGCATTTATCACCCCCTTCAGCCTGGCTTACGATCGGGGAACCGAGGTCGGTTCAGGATTAAAATCTTGCCCGGGTTGAGCTGCCCCCGCCCCGTCTGCGTCGGTTTTCCCACCGCGGCTCGCCTTTCGTAGCCACTCAAAGCGCCCCTTTTGCCAAGCCTCTTTCCCGATCTTCTTCTGGCTAAAAGAAAAGAGCCGGATGCCGGCGTCCGAAAGAGGCATTCTGCAGGGATGGAGGGAAAGCTTAGCGGAGGGTCGGGGCGGATGTGAGAGCCCTGCGCCTCGAGAAGGGTGTGCCGGCGATCGAGGGATTCCGCCAGCGCCGGCTGAGTGTTCTTGCAGATACGATCTTGAACGTTACAGAGATCGGGGAGCCGTACCAGTGTCCGGGGGCTCATCCTCTCCGTATGAAGGCGATGAGCCCCCTGACTCAGACGGGGAGCGGAGTTTCCTCACACTAACTGTGGAAACGAAAACCGGGGATGCAGAATCGCCAGGCGATTACTTGCAGTTGTTTGGTTTGGCTCCTCTTGGGTGCAAATGGAGGGCGGGGTGAGGCGCAGGTGCCGGCCTACCCCTAGGGAAAGACCTTTTGGCGCTCGGCGAAAAAGGGAGAGGTTTAGGCTTGCAGAGGCCCTGACTGAACAGGTTGTTCTGGCCTTGATCAGAAGCTGAAGCTCTTTTAAGGAGGCTATCTTCCAAAACTGACCCATCCATCTATGAAAAGGCAGTTACCCTAATTCTTGGGGTCTCCACACCCAACAAGAAAGGAGGATACATCAATGTTGACTTAGAAGACCCTTTGCTATTTCAAAAGTAATTGCAGATCCCCACAGCCCCAATCTAAGTGTTCACTTCGGTATCTGTCTTATATAATTCCGGAGATATGGAGTCCGGTTTTCTGCTAACCAACCTGCAGTGGGAGTTGGCTTTCCCAGATTATCCAATTGTGCCCTAGTTCCGATAAGCTTGGGATTTAATCTTGCTGCATTTAACTTGGGAGGTGGGTTAAATCTGTAACTCGATGCAGGAGTGGGTGGGTGGATTTTGAGAGAGAGATTGGCAGCAGAATAAGGCAGGATTTTAATATTAAAATTTGCTGGAGCCCATGGATTATGAAGATTTAGGTTGATACAATGTTTTGATTTTGTTTTTTATTCAGAGCTGTTTATTTGCAACGTAGCAGTACAAAGAAGAAACCCTCGATCACAAACTCTGGCTCTGCTATAACTAGAAATTTGGAACACCACCGTCTCATTGCAATTATTGTGTTAAGGAACGCCAGTTTATGCTAGATGAGAGAGGACTGTTTGTGGGACAGTGCTGTCATCCCAGAGTGTTAGGTTTTTACCAGCACCATTAACTGATCCACTTGCTTTAGAGCCTGGTTTTCATTAAAAAAAACTACTCCCAAAGCAGAATAAACGTTATACTGAAGCAAATAATGCAGTTTTGAAGCTCTTTAAGACTTTGCTGAGTGCGTGGCAGTTCCCCAGTGGGTGTCTCCTGAGGCAATAATGCCTTGGTAACCTGTGAGAAGCTAAGCTAATGCGTGGTCCTTCAGGCACAGACTTGGCTAACGGATTCTGCCTTCCTCGTTTGCAGAAGGAAATAATGCTTTCCATGTGGGGACAAGATAGGATTTGGCTATTAACACCAGAACTTCCTAGAAACAAGAAGAGCCAGGAATATCTCCGGAAAGGTGAACCAGCATGAAGGTGAGTGATCGGGAATAAAGAGTATCAGCTTTTTTCTTTTTTATTCTCCCAGTGCAAGGATCACGTCCAGGCAAGAACGTTCAGCTCACAGAAAATGAGATTCGGGGCCTATGCCTGAAATCACGAGAGATCTTCCTGAGCCAGCCCATCTTGCTGGAACTAGAAGCCCCGCTCAAAATTTGTGGTAAGTGGGACGCCATTGCAGGTTTTTTTTCCCCTTGTCTTTCTCTAGAGCTCTCTCAAAATGGTTGCCTCCGTAGGTCAGCCATAAAACACCTATTGAGCGGAAGATTCTGTACTGGCACTTTCAGAATGAGCTGAAGCTGATCTTTTTATCTGGTCAGATTGATTCTCTTATCTTTTAAACAAAGCACTGAGCTGCATCACACCGTTATTTTAATTTTTCAAGCATGCCTATGGGAACCAAGATACTAGAGGGCAATGCCTTGGGTTGCGTTGTATCGTCATTTAATCAAATTTTAAAGTAGGGCAAGAAATCTGGCAGACATTAAAGATGATGTCTACAAGCACATTGATGACTATGAATGCCATGTGTCTGGTTCTGGGATAGTCATTTCCCACCCTTGCCATTGTCACTTAGGAAGAAGACAGCATATATATAAATGCAATGTGTAAATTGTTGATCAGATTTTCATTTCTCTTTTTCTTTCTTCTACCATCTTCCAGGTGATATCCATGGGCAATACTATGACTTGCTCCGGCTTTTTGAATATGGGGGGTTCCCCCCAGAGAGCAATTACCTCTTTCTGGGTGACTATGTGGACCGGGGGAAGCAGTCATTAGAGACAATCTGTCTGCTGTTGGCCTACAAAATTAAATACCCTGAGAACTTCTTCCTTTTGCGTGGCAATCATGAGTGCGCGAGCATCAACCGTATCTATGGCTTCTATGATGAATGTGAGTGCATCATACCAGTAGACTTACAGAGTGGGAAATGAAGCCATATCGTGGTCAAGTACATGTAGATAATGAGGGTAGCAGTTTGGGAAATGGGGTGTGGCATAATGCGCTTATGCTGCATGAGTCTTTCTTTCTCTCCAACCCATTCAACAAATCTTGCAGGAATATGGCTATTCAAAACTATTCAGCTTTTTTTCCCCCCAACTCATTTTTGCTCCTTTCCTGCTTTCCACAGGTAAACGGCGGTATAACATAAAATTATGGAAGACCTTCACTGATTGCTTCAACTGCCTACCTATTGCTGCCATCGTTGATGAGAAAATCTTCTGTTGTCATGGAGGTAATCTAATCTATAATGTTGGGGGTAATCTATAATGTTGGGGGTGAGGCAGCTGATCGTACTATTGATGCCACCAATGCAGCAGGCAAGAGATTTGAAGTAATGCAGAATTTCTCCAGATGGTTCGCAATCTGTGTCAACAGGAAAAGAAGTCAAGTAATAGGCAGTGTCAATAGCGCAGTGGGGAATTTGGTGTCCTTTGCATATTGTGTAGGCGTGTTTCCTTTGGGAGGTGGAACAGAGCCTGGGAAAAAGTGAAAGACCATATTCCTATAAAGGAAGCATCTTTCATGCAGCATTTTAGATGAAAAATTTATTCAGGCTATTTTTTTTTTTTATAAAACAAAGCTTTTATTTTTTACAACAAACATACGAACAAAACATAAAAAGATAAAACCGTCTTTCAATTATATACATACAGTGTGTCAGTTGGTTACAATCTTTTGTGCTATCCTTTTTTTACCATTACTCACAAGTTATATAAATTCTCACCTTATTGATCTAGCTTGTGCTTATATGATATCAATTATTAAACATTCATTTGACTATTTTTCCATCATTTTATACGAGATATTCTTATTTTCATTATGATTTAATCTTATACATTCATCCAATGGTTATATATTTTATTGTATTCTATGTCAATCTATTAATTTTTATTGTAAGGCTTAGTAATCTATTTCTTTACCATGTCTTTTTATCTAACCATTGATAAAATAAATCCCACATCATATAAAATTGTTTATCCTCTTGTTCTCTAATTTCAAATGTCAGGCTAATTTTGATACCAGCATTGAGGGATAAGAATTGGCTTAAAGGATTGAGTATGGAAAGCCTGGTCAGACGTATTTTTTCAGTTGATATCCCTAACAAGAGTATGTTGTAAAATAGTGACTCCTGGTACATTACCTCTAGCGAGAGCCACATGGTGAAATAATCTGCTTTATAATTGCAACTTCTGTATTCCAGGACTCTCTCCTGACCTCCAATCTATGGAACAAATTCGGCGGATCATGAGGCCCACAGATGTGCCTGACCAGGGTCTGCTTTGTGACTTACTCTGGTCGGACCCTGACAAGGATGTGCAGGGCTGGGGTGAAAATGACCGTGGGGTCTCCTTTACGTTTGGTTCAGAAGTGGTCGCCAAATTTCTTCACAAGCATGACCTTGACTTGATCTGCAGAGCGCATCAGGTCAGAGCATAAAGCAACTAGAAAGGGTACACCTGGTTGGAGGGGGAGGAAAGGGTCTCAGTGAACTGGGAAATTACGTAGTTTTAAATAGAGAAGGTAGAAGGGATGGGAAACATAGCCGCAAAAGCTGTCCATGAAATAAAGAAGGCTCGAAATATATTATTGGCAGGGGGACATTGAACTGGGTTGAGCACGGGCATATATTTGATTGATGGACTCTCCCACCCCGGTTAGGTGGTAGAAGATGGATATGAATTTTTTGCCAAGCGGCAGCTGGTGACCCTCTTTTCTGCTCCGAACTACTGTGGCGAGTTTGACAATGCAGGCGCAATGATGAGCGTTGATGAGACCCTCATGTGCTCCTTCCAGGTAAGGACTTTTGAAGATGCTACTTTTACAGCTGTTGTCCTTTTGCGCACACGGCAAGCAATAAAAGGGTGTGCTATTTTTGTGACAATGCGAGAACTGGAGGATTCTAGAATACAATGTTTAACCGTCAGTTGTATTTTAAAGGGATTTTTGTATCCATTTAAATTTCTCCTACTGTAGCAAGATTGTGTCTCTGGTTTATGGTAAAAACTGGGATACTGGGGAAACCAACATTATTAGTTTTTCCTTTGCATTTATCTCACCTGCAGTGCCACATCAGCGTGGATGGCCACTGCATGGATGGAAATTCAAAAGCTACAGAAATTAGAATGATTGTGGGGTGGGCTTTTTTTTTTTAACTAATCAATGGCAAAGTCATAGGGTGGTTTTAGAATTGTAGCTTAAATACTTTGTCAGGTTGAATATGCATGCGCGTGCATGTTATTAGTGATCTTAAATGGTAGGGAAATGTGACATAAAGGGCCTCAGAAGTTCTTTGCCAAAAGCAATTCCCATATTTAAAAGGAATTGGGATATTATTCCTTTTTTTTTCTTTTGCATTTATGTTAGTCCTTTTTAATATGGCACATGAAGCAGATACAAATTTAGTCCCATAGTTTTCAAAAATGAGGAAAATAGTTGAATGTAGTGGGGGTTTTGTGTGCTCTACTATTCCATTTATATAATTTCAGAAACAGAATATACAGGCCCAATGGGACTTTGTAGCTTAAAGACCATGAAAAGAGAGAAAAGTATGGTGAGAAGGAATTTGAAGTGCAATTCCATGTCCTTAAGCTTGTTTAATTCTAAAGCACTAAGTTAGAGAATTTATGGCTGTTTTATTTTTACCAGTTATAAAGAACTGTGTCTGGAATTGCATTTTCGTCTTAAGAATTTTACTACATGCTCAAGTTTCAGGAGGTTCGGTGTTCATTTTTTTCACCCTGAAACATTTGCAATTATTAGATGAAATCCGTAGGAATTTTTCCAGCAGGGATCAAGGACAGAAAACAAAAAGCTGTTAATTCCCAGCTCTCATCTTAACTTTTTTCTCCTCTTCCGTAGATCTTGAAACCGGCAGACAAGAACAAGGGCAAATATGGTCAGTTCAGTGGCTTAAATCCTGGTGGACGCCCAGTCACTCCACCACGCAACTCAGCCAAAGCCAAGAAGTAACGTGTGTCCTGCCTGCCCTCCGTCAGCAGACAAGGGGGCTGGGCTGTCTTGCATAGCGGTTACACTGTACAGCGGCTGCTTACCTAGGATGCTAGGATCCAGCCATTTTTTTTAAAGAAAAAAAATATCTGAATGAGATTGAGTACCAAAAAAAAAAAAAGAAAAAAGATCTCATTCTCTAGGAAGGGAATGTCATTATTTTTGGGGGTATTTTTGATCGACTTTTTTGCCAACTCTGTCCTGATGTGTGCACCTCTTTCTCCCATGGGGTTACCACATCATTTTTTGAATAAACATGTAATATTCTTAATGTAGTTGCTTCTCTTTATAGTTTTGGGAAAATAAAATGAAATGGGCTGGGAGAAAACTGCTTCTTGCTTTCGGACAAAATACTCCCCCCCCCCTTCCTCCTTTAAAGCACCGAGTTTCTGGAGGATAGTGCTTGTCCTGTACAATTAGATGTATATTCTGAATAGACTAATTTGGGAAAATGTACAGACAACTGAACAAGTTGTGGCAATGAAGTCAGAATCTGGCTGTAGCAACAGCTCTGGTCTTGGACTCGATCACTTATGGGAGAAATAAAAAAAAATCAGGCTTCCTCTTAGAATGGCAGGGAATCCAATCAGATTCAAGTTATCTCACATTTGATTTGCTGAGGCCTGCTCTGGAAAAGCACGTGATAAACTCTGGACTGTATTCCCTGTTATGACCTCTCTAGAGGCAACCCTTTGATTGGAACTGTTGCTTCAATCATTTCACTGCCTAAAAGAAACTCCTAGCGGGTTGTTTCCCCACAATGCACCTGCTCTTTAGAAGCACCGTGCAAGACCTTTAATTAAGAGTGGTTTTCAGTTTTAACTTCAAAGCTGGATTGAGCTAGAGAAAGCACCAAGAAGTAACAAGGGATCAGGTCCAGTCTTTTGCCACCTTCCATATTTACTGAGTAATGGCAGCTTTAGAAGCCGCCTAGTTTTTTTCTTCTCTTATTTCATTTTTCATTCCCAGATATCTTCCAACTAATGAGAGCTTTGGCAGTAAAACCTGTTAATTACAGGGAACGAGAGGAAAGCTGGCTCCAAACAGTGGAAGGTTCTAAAAGGAAACTTACAAGCTTGGTCTATATTATAGCAGCAATATGCCTTGGCATCAAACACTGAGAAGTATATCTTTTTTTAATAAAACAAGTGTATTGGAGCTTTACATTAGTTGCAAACCTGAAGCAGGAAATATCTCCTACATTTCTGCTTTTCCAAAAAAAAAAAAAAAGCGAGCTGATGGTTGTTATAATTCTACACTGGAAATAACAGTTCCATGACACCCTGTTCATTTCATTAAAAAAGATGCAAAGATCTATCACTGGTCAAAGTATTTTGCTGGGGCAGGTTGGATTAAAATCCTAGCCTGACAAAGACTCTTTGGGATTTAGAGGTGTGTTGCACGCAGCACAGCAATCCAGATGAGCTCACGAATCTCCCTCACTGTCCTCTGCTAGTACGTCCTGGCTGGCAAAGGAACGAGTTCTGGTCTGGGACTCACTCAAAATTGATCCAAAGAATAAGGAACGAAACTGCAAAAGAAAATAACAAGGAGAAAGAAAGCTGAAAAGGTGCAAGCATTCTTGAAACTTTCCCCATCACAAATTGATTTAACAGGAACAAATTTAAAACACAAAAGCAATCTTTATAAATGTAGAAGAAAAGATACAGATGATATTCAGAATAAAGTTTACTACACCTAGGGGCTGACCGTTTGCCTCCTTTCCCTGTTCCTCCCAACTGCTCCAAAGCTGCTCCCAAATGTACTTTTCACCACACCTCTCTCTACCACACCACCCTTTTCAAGTGACTTTAAAAACCAACAACCTGATTTTGCAATAGAAGGATTATTAACAAAGCCCGGCTGCGGCCATTAAAAGTCAGTAAATAATGGCTCAGCTCCAACTGAAGTTAGTCATAAACCCAGGACCAACTGTGAGGGATGGATAGGATTGTAAGTATTTAAGTTGGTACACAGACCACAGTAAAGTACTGTCAACTTTCCCACATTACTGAATGACTTAATAGTCGTTCTATGCATATGTAAACCTAGACCATGTTTTACAAACCTCAATGGCTGGATGTAGAGAATATATAAGTGCCAGGGAGTTACGGTAGGCAGTGCCAGGTGGTACAGGTGCCCACGTGATCATGAATGCAGAGGTCATAGGCACTTTGTCCAGGTGTCAAATGGATCCTGCTATTCTACTGCTTTCAATAACATTTGATCGTTATTGTTATTGAAAGCAAGAGAATAGCAAGATCCTCTTAACACACCAGGCCAAAGTGCCTATGACCTTTCCATTCGTGATCACGTGGGACTGATCTTTTCCCCAAGAAGTTATCCTTTGAAATCTCTACCCCACCCACTTCAGTGGCACCACCCCAGACACTGCCCCAATATGACTTCTAGAATCCTGTTTCTGAAGTAAGTGATACGTCACACACACACAAACACACACACTACAGTAGTCACAGTACACACCAAAGGAGCAGGGTGGGTAGATGCCAGTAAGTACTGCAATGGTCACATCTTCCTATGCTGAAAAGCACTACCTATGCTCCTGCTTCTCCCATCTTTTAATGTGGATGGTCAGGAGATTCTCCAGGCCAATGTCTGACACCCTCCACCATGTTTTCATGCACTGAGCAGTAACACGCTTGCTCCACCTACCCTCTTTTGCGGCGGTGTGCCAAGGACAGTATCCTCATTTTCACTGTCCGATTCCTTGGTTTCAGAGCTGGGATGCCTTGTGGCGAAAGCAGAGCTGGGAGAGGGTTCCGTTTCATCACACGTGGCTTCCATGGCTATCATGTAGGCATCAATGTCATCGTTGGTAAGGTCACCAGCTGGGGCAACTGGTTTGTGAGTGCTGGAAGAGGCAAATGGGGTAGGCTTATATTAGCTACAGAGCCCTTAGTTGCCTTTCTTAGAGAAGGTGTCCCGTTAATCCTAGGGAAAGCCTTCCTTGGGGACACCTGGTTAAATTCTTATCCCACCAATTAAGTCCTCATCCCAAACCTCAAGGGTTTGACACAGCCGGATGAATAGCAGGAAATAACTCATGTAAAGCTGAAATATTAAACAGTTCCCAAAGTTACTAAATAGCCATGGATATCCTTTACGATGGTCCATCAAGCCTGGGGAATGACAAACACCTCAGCCAAAAGGGCAACAAAACTGCCCATTTCAAAGTGACACCCCCTTCCTGTATGCCAGGGAGAGATGGAAGTCCTGTTAAATACTTTGTTCTTTTCCAGCAACTTGTTTTCTCTCTATGCCAAGCAGGCTTAGTGCAAGAGGTAGAATATTTCTCACCTGGCTGGCAGATGGCTTTCTGATTCAGAAAGCGTGGCAAGGATCAGTTGTAGCTCCAGCACAGGATCGTCCACAGTAAAGATAGCTGGCCTGGGAAGATAAATATGGCTAGGGTGGCCGTACATATTTCAACTGGACGGGAATAATTTAAAAAAAGCAACAAGAATGGAAGCATGTCCAAGCTGACCAGAGCCACTGATGTCTCTGGTGAAGTAGAACAGAAAATACATTCACTGATGCTTACAAAGACTGCCTTTTTAAAAAAGAGTATAAGCAGGATGCTTACATCAAATTAGGGTTTGTGAGAAGCCTCTTTGGAGACACTCAAAGCAATACTGTGAAACAATACGGATACCGTCCAGCGAGTGTTAGCCAATACTGTACTTTAAAATGGCCTGGCTCCACTGCAGAAGTCTTTATTTGATCATTAAGCTTCTCAAGCCAGCTGCTTAAGCCCTCCTACCTGCCAGGTATGTCAAAGTGGATATCAAGGGAAAGATTTGAGGACTCAGCAAAACTCAAGAAACCCTAAAAATGGGAAAGGAGAAGGAGAAAAAAAAAGGTGATGAAGCAGACTGGGAAGAACAAACTCAACCGCATCCCAAAGAAAGCAGGCTCACCCGGAATTCCTTCAGGCAGAAAGTGACTTGTATTTCTTGCTTGACGTGGAAGGCCTGGAACTCATCCTCACTCAGGCACATTTCTGTCACCATCATCCGACTTGGCTCTGTCACACAGAGATGGATCAGAAAACATCTCTTCAGATAGCCACTTTTCTCCATTCCATACAACTTTCCATGAGGAAGCACATAAGAGATAGCTGCGGACTGCTGAAGAGAATCAGGGATTTACAGCCACACTGCTAAGGTGCCCTCAGGCTGGAACTTGCTAGCCACAGCTTAGTTTGTTAAGGGAGGCTAAGTAAGGAAGCCTCATCTTGTCGGGTTTGGGGGATGAATTGGAAGCAAGGCCTAGTGGGCAGCTCACCTGTCTCTTCTTCTAGGTAACTACGGAGAGTCACCTTGCCATTAGGGCTGGCACCCAGAGTCACCTCAGCCAGGTTAAGTGGGAAATGAACCACAGCATCTGCTAATAGCCTGAATTGGATGGAGAGAGGAAGGAAAGAGGCTGAGTAGAAACATGGAAAACTTCGTAGCAATTCCCTTCTGTACTTAGTCCTTATTGTTTTAATAATATAATTGGGACAACAGCATTGGCTCGCAGAAAGCTCTTCCTCCTCTCACAGTTTGTTCACACAACATATTCTTATATGTAATATATCAATTTGGGGGAGGGAAAGGGAATCTATTATCAGATTCCCCCTGCACTAAAATCTCTCTCAGTCAACAACATGATCGCACCTGGGAGAAGCAGAGTTGCCTTATTGGTGAGAGGGGTGGCATATAAATTTAATAAGTAAATTAAAATAAAGAATCCTCAAAATACCTTCCCATCCATTTCAACATTTGTAAATTATGCCATGCTGATATATTGGCTGCTGTACTGGTAAGTGGGCCTCTGGATGGTGGAATTCACTGTGCAAAGGATGCATACAACACAACCTTGGGCACTTTAAGCCTGGAGGACTTCAACTCCCAGAATTCCCCAGCCAGC